AAGTCATCAGCATACAACATCTCTCTCATCAGCCCTTCTCTTGCGCTCTCTGTAACTACATCAATGACAACTGCAAATATCAATGGTGATAGTACAGAGCCTTGATGCACACCCACCTTCACCTCAAACTCCTCTGACAACTCCGATCCTACTCTAACTCTTGTCTTTGCTCCTTCATACAAACTCATCACTGCTCTTACCATTACTGTGTCAATAATCTGAAAACAATAGCTTCAGTCTGCCACTTTGTATCGAGCATTAGTATAACACATAGAAGGTTGGATCATCAAATTAGACTACATTTAAAAAATAGAATTTACAGAGAGACTAATATACAGTTCCTTGTCCTTGTAACAACATCAGTTCATGGTACAATACATTTTTATATGAAATGACAACAAGAATAAAATATACAATATTTACTTTGTTAGTAGCACATATGCTTACATAAATAACAGATGTGTGTCTATGGTTAAAATAAGTCATATTATTAATTTAGTATACAATACATGCAACTGTTGGTTTACATACACTAATTATTGGAGATGCACTTCTGATAGAGTAAATACTGTAATTGTTTTTCCAGTTACAATGTATTGTTGTTATTTATATTTTTTGATTTCAACTTACCACACAGTCATTAGTATCTGGTATATTGACCGATTTCACACATAGCTCAACTCCAACAGTCTGAAATGAAGACATAAATACTGATGATTAGCGCCCTCTATCCAGATGGGATAACAATTTGACAGGTGCAAAAATCAGAGCAAAGTTATTGTACAATTGGTGTGAGTCTCACAGCAACTAATACAGTTACAAGTCAGTAAGTCAGCTGTTAAAATGCTAGGTGTACATTTACAGGTAACGTTTTTAAATACACAAATAACAAATGCTTTGAGGTCATCTAAGTTGACAGTTGACTGTTTGTTGAGAAGTTATTTTTATAGTAGAAACAAACATGACTTGTTCATTTATTTTAAACTGAACCAAATATAGAAGAGCAATTAATGGATATAAACAGCAAGTGGTGGATTTGGTAGCAAATATAAGACCACTAAATACATGCACATTCTCGCGGGGAGTATTATCACAAAATGAGCCATATTTAATATTTTTGGCAATGATAATTGGTATCAGTACTTGTACCAGGTTTCCCCTTTTTGATCATACAATCGCAATCACTATGAACAGTGTTCACAGATATACCCGGTAAGTTTCAGACATGACTTTGCTTCAGGAATCACACGACCAGATGCAGACTAACTTTGTTATAATAAAAGAGAACGTGTATTTCTGATGACTGTCTACCTTTAACTATTTGGTTTTATATTACCATTTACAGTATTAACATCAACCGTGAATTTCAAGAAGGCATGGATATTTTCATATAAAAATTTATAAAATTAATGTTTTATTGATTTCAAATGACAGCTGACCAATCACAATGCATTAACAAATGCATGGCAATAAATTGACCAATGATTGAAATCCGCAAGGACTCATGGGTAATGGGAGTTACCAATCAATGAAAAATGTATGCGTTGGATTTGGAAGATCTTTCAACGTTCTTCCAGGATAAATATTTTATAAATTTCTATATAAAACTTCATGCCTCAATGGAATTCATTGAATTGAACTTACCATAGAATAACTTTTTGGGAAATGAGCTCCATCACTGTGGAATACCTGGGTTATTGCACTTTTACCCACTGCAGAGTCTCCTGTCAACATAATTAAGATAGTTATTTAGATTTATTTACATATATGCACTGCATGATACTTTTTGTGTTTTTCATTTCAGGAGCCACACTGTTTGAAAAGACCTTCACTGAAATCTTTAATTCTACCGGTACAACCATGTTACCACTGAATATATCTCAAAATAAGTCAAAAAATAATTATTTGTTGAAGGCCTAAATTCACTGAAGGGCAGAAATCTGTACCTTCATTTATTAATGAAAAAATAGAGTCAGCTTTCATTTAAATTCAAATATTGGTGCTTCCAGCTTATAATCATTATGTTTGGCCACTTGTCTGTCTGTCTGTGTCTGTTAACTTTTCCGTGATTTTTTGGCTAGGTCGAATACTTGATTTTTCCACCAACTAGGTGTAGTGTAGGTGTGCTACACCTAGTTGGTAGAAAAATCTGAAAAATATTCCTGTCCTACTGTTGCAAGAGCAATGCCCAACATCTTGAATTTTTGGCTGTGGCTACATGCAAATAAATCTTTGTGTGGAAATTTGGGACATATCTCATTTTACTATTTAGTTTGTGGGTCAAGGCAAATTTCTGAATCACAAAATGTTTCAATGTTTCAAATGTTCAATTCTATAAAGCATTTAACTTCACTGAATCTTGGAATACATTGAATGTTCAAGTTCATCAAGTGTTCAAGTCTAACAAGCAAGTTCATAAAACAATTTTCTGTAGTTGGTGCATTGCAAATATTGACAGGTCTAGCAGAGAAGCTTTCTGTCTATCAGTCTGTATATACATTTGTATGTACAACTATTCTGTGATTTTCTGGCCTGGACAGATTGTGTTAGGAAGGAAAAATAGACAAAAAATCTTGTCCTACCATTGTCATAGTAACAGCCAACAAAATTGTTGTCTGCGTCCCCCAGCAAATCGTTAATCAGACTCTGGCTTGTTTAATAGTGATTGACTCAAGAGCTCATTAATGCAAGCACATGCCTTCGAGTGATGTAGCAACAGGGACAGCCCACTTGTTCAAATTAAAGAGATTGCTGATCAAGATGATGTTGAGCTAACTAATATCAAGAACGTGATACAAATTCTGGATTTATCACAGTTTAAATTCGTACAGTGCATCGTTAACAACTCATGTGTATTCAAATTTGTACAAAGCCACTGGGCTTAGTCTTTTCCTCAAACCGAAACCTTAACCCGCATTTTTCATTGACCTAATAATATGCGAGAAAATTTCACACTGTGAAACATGAAATGAATAGCGCCATCAGTGTTCAACAATTCCAAAATGGCTGTTACGTCATGTCAGCACAAATGAATCGAGCTGCAAAGAAGCGGGAAAAGAGGTGGAAATATTCTTGACAAATTTATTTCTGTGACGTGGCGATGTTTGAAGTCGTTCAAAATTAAAGGTTAGGGTTAGGGTTTCGTTTTAATTTGTTTTGTTTCGTGGAAAAGACTGAGCCAATCCACTGTACATTTTCAGGAATATGCAGTACTATACATCAAATGTTTACCTGCAAACACTGAAATCAAATGAATACTTGCATGATTGCAACCAACTACAAGCAGCAAGAATAAAAAAATGGTGGATTGTTTTTTGTATTCAGACAAAAAATACCATATGAGACACGGCACGAATCTGTAACTGGTCTATTACTTTTATTTATTTTTATTTAACACTTTTTTAAAAAGGTATGCCAAAATACAATTTCGTTGGGCCTCCTGTAGAGGCAAAATACATTAAAAATTCTACAATTTACATACTACTATAAGCTTGAACCATTGACAACTAATTTCTCACCAAGATATAGTTTGTATGTTTCCTTAAATATGCTGAATTTCTAATATGAGTTGGCAACGTCCTCTGACACATAGATGTTTTTTATTTAGAAATGCACAAATCATTATTAAGAGTGGAAGGTGTACTATACTTATAAGTTTTTGAGATAGGTCTGAACATATACATAAAGACAACTAGAAAGTATGAAATTCTGTAGACAATAGGTAAGACACCATGTAAAAATGCGCTTTTATAAAATCACACTTCCACATCAAAAATGTTTTTCAAATGTTTGTACTAGAATTATAACAGGCAATCCCTAAAACGAGATTTGGCCAATCCTTAAATTAATATTAAAGTCAATTCAAAGAAACATGTGTCTTAGCACTTATGGTTTAGGTTGATATACAGTAAATCTACCAAATATTTTACCATAATCCTAATGCCAAAACACATTAAATAAATTGTCCAAATCTTAAATTTCTTTTTCGGATTACCGATCTACCAATAATAGAAGCATGGATCTTCACCTGTTTAAGCTATGACCGGTCATCAGTCAAGTCATTTTAACCACAGTCCCTCTAGAGGCACTGTGCTACTATGGATCTATTATAGTAGGGTTTATACTTCTATCAAGAAAGTGACGATACCACATTATGTATCATTTTACAAGGTTATATAATACATCAGTGTGGTCCATGGAACACAAACAAAGGTCGGAGTATGTCAGTAATAATAGAATTTAAGCTCATATCCATTGGTTATGGACGGACGTCCAGAAATTTGCAGAACGAACAGTCATTCACTTTTAAACGTAGTCGAATTTTTAGGCTGAAATTAATATTGACCTTATCACTCACCTACGGTAATCACTTTTGCTCTCAGAGTTTTCGGCATCTTATCAGATTTATCGCATGAATATTATTATTGCTACAATGACAGCACTACCGGTGTTGTCGTATTGTTGATATACCGACAGACGATGGAATGTAATTTGTGGCCAACAGCGCCCTCTCCGACGTACTTTTTACACTAACGCAAGAGGCGCACTTCACACGAAAGTTTCCACACATTCGGACACAGATGGCGCAAAAGTAAAAACTGGAACAAATAATTTCTCTGGCGAAAATCAATTTGTTATCTTGTGCTTTGTGTTCTAAACATTTCTCAGATTATCCGGTAGTCTTGTTTTTTGAAGTAAAGTTAAAACGCAACTAACAAAAATAGATCAAACTAATTATAAACACTGATTCTAAAATTTCCAACGCAAAAGTAAAAGGAAATAACAAATCAACTTGAAGAATTTTTCATATCAGATTGGATAGAAGATATTACAATGACAACAGGACAAAAATAAATTAAGAACATACAGAAACTTTAAAAATAAATTAGAATTTGAAAAATACATACAGACATTGACAAACACCTAAGCAAATTTAGATTAGGGAATCAAAATTTAAAAATTAAATCTGGTGGGCAGAAAAACCCCAAAAGACCATTGAAAAAAGAATATGTGATCTATAAAATACAGGAGAAATTTAAAATGAATTCCATCTAATAATGTAATGTCCAAAGTATGAACAACAAAGAAAGTCTCCAGTTGAAGACATAAATAAGTGTAATAACTTGTTTATAATTTTTTTCTATAATGAGCCTTTGCTGCAGACAGATTAATACTGCACAATTTGTTAAACACAGCCTTAAAATAAGACAGCAGCACCTCATAGTAGGAGTATAATTACAGATATATTATTATATATTTATGTATGTTTAATTGTCAGTGAATCTTGTAATTTGTATATGTAACTTTGTAATTTTTGTCTACTTTTTTTTCTTTCACTGTTAATCATTTTTTTTAGAATTATCCTGTAGTTTTTAGTGACCTTACTGCTATATACTTTCCAAAGTCAGTGTTGTGTTAATAAACAAGTATTTTTTTCTATTCATCAACAAAGGAAGTTGTCGAACATAGAGATAAATATTATTTCAAATTTTGTTGTTAAAAAACTAAATTATTTTTGTGACAGCAGCAAAAGGTGAACCATTTTGCAAACTTATAAAGCACACTGTAAAAATTTGTTTTTCGACCATAAAACACAAAAGAACACAGTATGGAAAATAAGATCATGTCTTATGCAGAATCGTGTCTTTTTTAGTTTTGTTCTACTCAGAGTATCTAGAGCATTGGCATTATGCTCATTTTATTTTATTAAAACAAAACAAAACAAATTAAAAATATAATTTAATAGAATGAAGATCAGATTTGTACTCAGATCATGCACATGTGTGAATTACTTGCTTATGGTTTGTAGCAACATCAGTACAAGCCCGTAAGTTATCACCACAGTCCCTCTATCCAGGGACTGTGTTATCACCAATGTCACAGTTATCCAGAAATAATCATTTTGAGATTAGCTTGATGACACCTAGATTAAGAAGAACACTCAATGGGGAAAATATCAGTTTTATAAATGCAGTTTATATGCCACACCGTGACATTTGGATGTATCATATCCTTGCTTTCATCCACAAGCATTGACATTATGACAATTAATCTTAATGGATACTGACAGAAACACTCCTAAGTGAAAGTAATATTGCATTTCATTGCAGACATTCAGTCTGGGAAAATGTCAAAGATTGGCTTGAAATATGACATTCGATTATAGAGAATGATTAGGTTTAAATAAAAGCATTATTTAAAGAGAAAGTAATCTCCATATATGGTGTTCTCTAAATATTTATCACTATAGTAACAATATCTTAACTTCCAAGCTTAATAATGCGATATTCCATTCAAGAATATGGTGGTTTTTGAGTTGCTTCTGCATTATATTGGATGTTATCAAGTAAAAAATAACATATTGAATCAGAATTCTAGTATTTATGATCCTTTAGGGACGACGTCAAAAGATCAATGTCGGATAAAAAACTTAAGTCCTTTTAGTTTTTTTCAAAAACCCCCCACTGAAACTTAATTGATAAATATTGACCATGGCGTCAGACTACATTCACCATTAATTACAAATTGATAATCAGACAGTAGTATGGCATAGCAGTTGATTGTCAGGTGGGTGTACAAAGACTTTACAAATGCACCTCATTTGACGCACATATTTAAACTCGGACCAAACCATTTTCTTGTCTTGGATGTGTGTTTTTTCATTTTCTGTTATTTCTGTCCATTGACTTCATTAAAAAATAAAATCGTTTTTGTAGGATGGAAACTTTTTGAGGTCAAACCCCCCACCCCACCCCCAAATTAAAGCAAATAAGTTTTTTATTCGACATCGATCTTTTGACGTCGTCCTTACCATGCATTATTCTGTTGATACTGATTCAAGCAAATAAGTTGAAAAATGTTAGTTTTGAATATTATTTGAATGGTGAAAAACAACACTACCTACCAGATCCAAAGTGTCACTGGGAACACTCAGTCAATGGATTAGACAGGAAATGCAGGCTTTCACATTGAAATTCAATTCTCGATCAAATTTGGTGATGTTTAACCCACACAAAGAAATATTTTAATAATGGAAAAAATGCTGAACCAGCTTTTCAAAAACACATTAAATTTTTTGTTTTCGATACTAGACCTATAATAATTATAATTATTTACTTTAAAGCGGAGAGTAGTCACCTACACATGCGTCAGGTGGCCATAGTGTGTCATTGTTTACAAACAAGCATTTACCCATGAGCCTTTGCGTTCTTAGCATGTGTTATCGCTTGGGACTCAATTCCCATGCATGCGCAGGTGACGACTCTCCCGTTTTAAGCAGAGCAATATCAGAGTGTACAAACTACACAATTTGTAGTGATATGCAATGGAAATAAACAAGACAACTAACATTGTGAGATGCATTTATTTATGTACTACAGATCCTAATACAACATTCTTGGTTACCATGGTTACATGACGATAGATTTTATATGTGCATACATTTCATTAATAACCAATTAATGAGTGAAATGAATAAGTTCAAATTTTGGATAAATTCAGTCATTGTCTTTTCAAGATATATGCATATAAATATCTTCCAGTTTGTTGCAAACAAATTTTGAAAAAACACTGAAATGCAAAAATACTTCCCAATGTTCTATACAGAGGGGTTTCACACTCTGATTGTCAGGGGCATGCAATGAAATTTGTAAGCTAATATTTTTTTTATGAGAAACATTTTTTGAGTTTGGTACGATTTTATATTGGTGAAAATGTCAATAGGGTTCTTTAGGCACTGGAATTCATCAAAGCATACATGTTTCTGGCAACAACAGTGTTTTAGGGTATTCATGCAACTACACAATGCTGTCTTGTCTGAAGACTTCATTTAAGAAGAACTGGTGCCTTTCTTCAGGTTATGTCGCAACTGTAACAAAAACAGAAACCAGTTATTAATAAGAAATTATTATAACAGAATGAATACTACTATTCAAATATTAGACATGAGAATTAAATTATTTTTGCAGAAATACTTATTCCCTCTCACAGATAAGTCCTTTCACACTGGAATATTACAAGTTTTGTAAAACTTTCTCTGAATTATAGTTTTCTTTAGAACTAAACAAAGTACTAACAGAGTTTGGTCAAAGATTTACAATTTGAACTTAGCTGTGTGGAAGAATAAATTAGCAGTGAAACACTTTGATATATTTTTGAAATCCTGGATTCAGCTGGTTTTTTTTTAGTTCGTTCCTCATGATTGGCCAGTGACAACAGAGCCCCTGTGATTGGTCAATCACTAAACACAGTTGCCACATCAAATCTGTAATCCTTCACAAAAACCCTTACCTCCTCAAATTTATGAATCTGTCTGATAAAGAAATCACCATAGCGACGAGCAACTTTAGTGTCTGCTATATGAATCATGTCCTACAAGCAGTAAAAAGTTAAGTCAGGTCAGTATATATTTCAAGACATTCAAACATTTTCAAAACACTGTACGTATTATGGGATAGTTCGCAAATAACACAAAGGTATTATGGGATAGTTCAATAGTATTACCCCCCCCCCACATAGAATGGATTAACCCGATTACATATCAATGAATAGAATACTAGTAGTTCATTCATAAATGTCCTATGTTCATATAGACTAGAAATCAAACTGAACTGAAGAACAATAACATATTACCATGACAACAACACTCACCTGATCAATGTAGAAGTCTACTTCAGATGCTGACTGGAATTCCCCTTCCAAACCACTTGTACCTTTCGTCCATACAAGATTCTTCATCTTGTGCTAAAATATATGTGTCATAAATTTTCAAACATTTGACATCCACTAATTGTTCTGTAATATCTTAATTATATAGAATATGCATGCCTTGAAAAGATAGGATTCAAATCAAAATGACACTGTGGAAGACTTTAAATAAACAACATATAATATCTTAAAGTCACAGTCTGTAACGTGTCCGGAACTGTTTCTCTGAGCTGAACAGGGTGATTTCAATCAAACATTGTAAGGTGATCATGCATATTTAGTTATAGGTCCACATCACTTTTTTTTTTTTAGACTAAACCCAAGATGGCCGACTGGCGGCCATTTTGTTTTTTTCCATTTTTGTGCCGATTCCTCTGAAAGATGTGGCCTGATTCAGTTCAAATAAACAACATACACACTTAATCCAGCAAAGCTGAACACTTATTTTGCTCAACTGAGCTGTTGCTTAGGTAGCCATGACAACTGAACCAAAGAATTCACATACCTTGAAACATAACAAATGATTTCGGAAATCATCATCATTCTGAGAAGAAAAAATAAAGAAATTACTTACTGATGAATGCAGTAAATGTGCTCTCCATTAAACAATATAAATCAGATGAAGCAACAAATTAAAATAGAAAATAATTCAAATAGAATACTTACCAATTCTAGAAATGTAGCTAGTTTTGAAATCGGCATTGTGGTATATAACTTCAGAAAACTGAAAGAGGACACAAATATTATATTAATTGCAAAGTAATACAAGTTTATCAAGAAAAAACATCTTACGATGTTCCTTTTGAAAAATAATTATCAGTAATTTTATCCTATTAATCACACAAAGTTGTTTGTTTTCAGGAAAAACAACGGTTCCATGGTTACCAACAAGTCATAATGGTGTCCATCTTACCTTCTAATTGTTGGGATCATAATCTGTTGATTGACTTCTTCCATGAATACCTTGAGTTGTAACGTGAATGGTTGCTTTTGTAGATTGTTGCGCGGAGCGTCATAGTTGGGAGCAACCGGAGAAATAAACTTTGGACATGCAAATGAGAAACAGTCTTCAAAAACTTGTCTGTCCCTGTTGAGAAGAAACATAGGTATGAATATTACAACCTTGCTCACTGGAAACAAAAAGATATTCCTTACTTTAATGAGAAATTTGTTTTATTATGTTTTTAACATTTTGTTTTCACTTTAGTGCAAGTCTGACAGTGTCGTACATTCCAAGCCACTAAATGACATGAATTCTTGGGCATTCATTCATACTTACTATTATAACACATAGTTGAACATACCTTTACATGAAATATAGGTACTTCACACAAGTGCATGCATTTCAAATATACCATACCAAATATACGTTTACATATCTCGTAATTTAAGGGTGGAACAAAATGAAAACTTTAAAATTTTTATTGCTTACAATATTTTTCAAAAGTAAAGTTTATAAACTATATCAAATACTGAATTTTCTTAATTTTCAGTTTACTTATCAGACAAAAATATGTTTCTAAAACAGCTTATATAAGTGGTATACAATTTTATTGTCAGTACGTACCCTTTCTGCATTCGTAACATTTTATCGCCACATTTCTCACGTAACTGCGAATGTACGCTTTCATCGATTCGCATCGGATGCAAGGTCAAACAGATCGTTAACAGTGTATACATCTGATCATTCATTTTCATTATCTGAAATAAAATAACACGAGATTGTAAACTTGTGTGATCAAGAGCAGTAACGCTTACCAAAAATAAAATGTTTACAAGTTATGTAAATCTTATTTTTAAAAGGGAGATAGACTGGTCACAAAGTAGGTTACAACAAAAAAGACCAAATTTTGTGAACTTTAAGACATTTGTTAAAGGGATTGAAATGATTGAATGTTACACTGCAAAAATGAAAGGGAAAATGAGTAAACACAATAAAAAGTGGGGGAAATTAAGACTTATGAATACTGACCAAACCACTAAAGACTGAATATTGTAATCTTGTATTCAAACCATTGTAACGTTTACAGTACCAACTTTCATGTATGTTTACACTTGTAAACCTTATAAGGTGACTCAATAAAATGTTAAAAAAAAAAAAGAATGTACAAAGCAGAGGAACATTCTCTTGAAATTGTGATCCAGCATGATTCAGTCACATTTAGTTTAATCCAGTCACATCCGGTTTAATCCAGTCTCATGCTGCTTACCATGTCATACTGGTATGACTTTGTCTGGAACATCTGTTTAGTTCTCTGAATATACAGCAATATATTAGCAAAGCTTCTGATAGCGTCTTGGTAGCGTCTCATCATCATGTATGCAAATCCAACGTAATAGTACGTGGTAATCTGACATGCTGGTACACGGGAATAAACACTCTGAAAAACATGTGTAAAAACAGTTAGACTAAGAGGACACAGGCTTAACATATTACAAATATTTAAAATCCAGAGAATCTGTCAAATGTAAATTTTGAATACCAAATGCAAATTGCCCAAGGATCAGAAAATTCACTAATCACAGTGACCACTCTAATATATCAACTTATTATTTTGGTAAAATTGAACAAAGTCTCCTATTTTCCTAGGAATGAAAGAAATCCAGATCAGATTAAATTTTTTGGTATCAATTTTGAAAGAAATGCTTTTGAATGAAAAGCTTTGTTGGTGTTGGTGAGTATTTGGTGAATTTGTTGAAGGTCATCTTTAATTCTGCCCAAAATAGTTTCATGGCCTGCTTTGAGTGGGTGTGTGAACAGCTAAAGAAAATTTGAAAGATTTGATAGAAAATCACTAAATTATAGACATCGGACCTATGGGAATTCTATTGGTGACACCAGATTAAACATTAACACTGTCACCTATGGGAATTCTATTGGTGACACCAGATTAAACATTAACACTGTCACCTATGGGAATTCTATTGGTGACACCAGATTAAACATTAACACTGTCACCTATGGGAATTCTATTGGTGACACCAGATTAAACATTAACACTGTCACCTATGGGAATTCTATTGGTGACACCAGATTAAACGTTAACACAATTTGTTTAGAATGTGAAATCTATTGATGGTATAAGCAAGTCAGAATTTGTTACCTTCTTGTTGAGTTCAATATTTTCCAGTACTTTGATGCCTTGGTAATAATCACCAAGAAGTGAATGTAGACGTAACAAACCAATCAAACTGAAGTAACCAAGCATTTTGTAGAGAGGATGACGTCCAAACTCCCCGGCAACACTATCTGGATCACCTGTCATGAAATTAAACAAATTTGTGGCTTAGAAACTCTCGTAGCTACAAGTATCTAATTGTGTTCCTGATAATCTGATTTGTTTTTGAGCGCATAATTCATATATTAAAAGTATTTTTAACATATGACATTAATAGAACAGGTCAAATGTTTCCAAAACGATAGATTGGTGATAAAATTAGAAGTACTATAAATACAGTAGATTTGAGAAATAATTATTTTGTGAATATAAAAAAGTCAAGATGTCAATAAAGTCACATTTGTGTTGAATATGAACACCAAGTTCAAGTTAAATTTGATTTTAAGTAGACAGAAATCAAAGAATGTGGTTGCTATGGCAATTCTGGTATTTACCTTCACTAGCATAGACTTCCAACTGCTGATTGATATTAGATTTATCGACCAATGAATGCAAGACATTCAGAACACTGTGTACATTCCATATCTAGAATAGAAAAAGTTACAATAAGTGTATTTTACTACATGCAAGTTGTGATATCCAGCAACTACAGATTTCTTGTAATATTGGCAAAAACCTTACCTTAGGACTCTGTCTTAAAACATTTATCTCATCTTCTGACTTCTTGATGAGTTTACTTCTATACTGGCTGAATGACTGAAACTACAACACAGAAAATATAGAAAATGATAGATACAAGTGAGAGTGCACTGAGAGCAAGGCAGAAAAAAAATTAAATTATGATTATGTTGAATGAAAACAATAAGCATAATCCAAAAATGTACACATGTTCCAATCACTGCATTAGTACACATCCAAATATAGACATTGCTACAATTACTTCATTAGCATATATGGAAATAAGCTGTACCTGATAAATAAATTCATCAATGATGTCCCATAGCCATTGATTTGGTAACTCCAAAGGTACTGGTCCATCAGCATCTGCAATAATGTATACATTAACAGCTATGCATTTGTCAAGAGTTGGGCATTTGACAGATGCTTGTATCCATGGCGATATACAGCAACAAAAGTGTAGGCTTGTAAACTTTTAGCAACTACGACACTCATTCGAGTTATCGCCCATGCTCAACTATTGAAGTGACCACCCACGATTTTTGGGGCATTTCTATTTTAGGAAGAATGTTCAGCTAAGCACCTATTACATCCAAAATGCTCCAAACTTGACTGTCTAGACATGAAACCTGGTGTTTGAGCATTGTTTGACATTTCCAAATATCTGTAATCAAATTGTAATAAAGCATGGATATTGGCCGCCATGAATATCGTGCAGACCACGGTAACAGTGATCTGTTAACAGCTGTGAATGGCAGTATAACATACTAATTACCATTTTTTTGTGTCAAAATCAATTCCAATAGATCATTAATAACTAGACATCAATAACTCACTTTCGCAAATCGATAATTTCTCATAGAATTGCATTGATACAATACAGCAGTCTGATTGGTTAATAACAGACTTGACTTATTAGGTCAAAGGGCGCTGTTGCAGGTCAAATCATGCAAGAATACATCATGGCGGAATTTGCTTTGCATAGAGTGTTTGCTGATGATCAAAAATAATGATAAAGATCTTAACTTTGACTATTTTACCACAGACCCTGATAATTTTTACATTGTAAATTCTGGTGGTACGCAACTTATTAATTTCTTTTCTTTAAAGAGACGTAATATTCGCCCTAATCTGGCACATGGTGAACTAAAATTGTCATTTGCATAATATAAGCACCCACCCACCCACAGAAAAAATAGGATTTCTAGAGCAGAGTACCCTGAGTGCCAAGTCTGACAATAACAGTAAACACATCAACTTTCTAATTTCAAAAAATTAATTAACTTACTGAGAATATAGTTGAAGAGATTACAATAATTGTAATACGATTCAAATCTTTGTTCTTGAGTTGGACCACCCTGCAATAAATAACAAATAAACATGGCTAATTATGAAATATCACATTTGCGTTCATGCAAAATATTGATCAAATATTGAACTCAACAAATATTCATAGATGGTAAAAACTTACGGTAACTTTAGCATAAATATGTCGGTAATACAACTCCTTGTACAGGATTACAAACAATGGGTCTGTGAATAAAGCGAATAAATATCAATTACTGTAAATTTATTTTTGCTCTTAGTAATTTTCGTTGTTAAGACTTTTTTGATTTTTATGTTTGGAGTTTATTTTTCACTGATCTTTGATGCGTTTAATATAAAATATAGGAAAAAAGATATATTCACTGGATTTTATTTTCACTGACTTATCCCTTCAGTATTTTAGTATTTTACAGATTGAGAAGATTATCTAAACAATGTGCTTTTCAAATCATTTACCCGTGTGACCAATCAAATAATCTATAGTTTAGATACAATGATTAGTTTATATATTTATTATCTACGATGACATTCATGCATATTTAAATGATTCTCAGTAAATTGGAAATTTCATTTGATAGAAAATGTTGAAAAGCATACCTCGGTCTACGACGGGAGCTACATGTTCAGCTTCAGGCCATGGTGAATTCTTGAAAAATCTCTCTGTTAACTTATTGAAACTGAAACCAAACAGAGACAAAACAGAGAAAACAATTACAGAATATATTTATTATATATTATAATATAATATCCAATGAAACATGAAGTGAATCAATTCTTTTGATACGCTTTAATATTCTGTGCACACACCATCATTCAAGACACAGATTTGAGTGCAATATTTTGCAAATTCTTAATTTTGGACCAAATTGAACAATTTACTATTGTTTATAGGATTTGATCCACATTTTTCATAATATGCATAATAATTTTGAGAAAAGTGACACACATTGTCTTCAAACACATTAGGGGGGGGGGGCATACCTGCTCTCATAGAGGTTATTCACTTCAAATAAATTGCCTTCATTGATGCATTTATGGAAGAAGTGGATGAAGTTCTTGATAACTTCAGGTATAATATACGATGGTACGGTCTGTTCATACTGACGTTCATACGCTAAGTCTTGTCGTGGATCACCTGGGAAAGGAAAAAATCAAATGAACATAGTCAATACTGATTACCGAGATATTAGTTTTGTTTGTCAGAGGTCGAAATTGAAAGATAAATCTGGTTGTCAAGCATTAAACTTATTACCATATTCATTATATTGCATACATTATCCTGACATAATTTACATAATATTTTGAATTCAGCAAAGAGTCTATTTTTTTTTATAATTCTTGGTATGCTTTATAGGATGCTAGTAGATTTGAAAAAAAAAAAATTTCTGGCTAATTATTTATTTATTAAATTGCCAATCCACCATCAATTCTACACCATACTAGTATTCAAATTCATAAAAAAGAATGTTACCATGGAATTATAGCTCCATGATTGCACATATATGTGTGATTTATGACAAACTTTTTATAAAATTATCTAAGACGTGCGGTGATGGATTTTCAAAAATCTATTATTTAAACATAATTGTGTATCTACATTTAGTCTGAAATCAAAGATTTGATATTTCTATAATGGTCTCTGTCAGTAGTAAAAGTAGTAAACTGAGGGTTTTTTCCAAAATTCGGAAGTATATTAATTGGATTAGAAATCAAGGAAGGTCAATTTTTAGGTGGCTTTTTCTGTTGTTTGTTTGTGTATGTGTGTGTGTTAGTCTTGGTGTCTCTGTCTTGTGGTTTGTATTTTTTATTCTTCATTTTTCTATATTTGTTGTAACGTTTTCCATCCCTGTACAAGTGTTATTATTGAATAAATAAATTGAAAAAATAAAATAACAAAGTGCATACATGTATATAAAAGATGTTAGATATTTCTTGCTCTCCTTTCTCATTTATGAATTTAACTAACACTAAAATCCAGTGAGACTTTGAAGCTAAAAAACTGCTTGTGTTGACAATTTATCCACACACGTCTCATATTTTAAATGTACAAACTGAGAGATTCACTCATTAATTTAAGATATGTACTTTGCTGTTGTTGATACTATACCTATTCCATAGAATGTAAATAAATAAATAAAAACAAGTCATTGTCAATGACACGTCCCCGTTCCGTTCATATTTGAGTGACATATACATTCAAAGCAGATCATGACCAAAATGCACCTGCATATGTACAACACATTGTGCTAAATCTGAACAAAATCCATCCATGCATGACTGAGATCCGGTTCTGGAATTGTGAAAATACGTGATTTTGATGCATTTTCGGCCTTAAAATGGCCATCATTCCGCTATTGTTAAGCAGATCATGAAACAAATGCACATATCTATTTGTGACATGATGTACCATATGTGTGTGAAGTTTGAACTTGATCAATCCAGACATGTCTTGGATACGAATCCAGAACTGAATTCTTTAACAAAATGGCCGCCAGTCGGCCATTTCGAACTTGATCCGAAAAAAAAAAAGACGTGCATCAAGGTCCTATTATGTTTAATGTATGTACCAAATTTGAACAAAATCCATCCATGCATAACTGAGATACGGGTCCGGAATGGTGAAAATGTGCGATTTCAATGCATTT